TTGCAGTTAGGCACCGAATGGGTGCCACAGCTGAACTAAGGGACCCTGTAATACGGGAAATTTCGTGGTGCCAAAAGTGTGCGATCGACGGAGATATTTTATGTTCTTGCTTGTTCTCTCGAAAGGAGAGCTGCATTAAATCTTGTTGGGGAAAGCTTCAGCCCACCTTATTTTAGAAATCTGTGTCCACCCGCTTTGTCGACTGTTATTCTGAACTCTCCGGATTCAGCCTTTTGTTCATTTCCCCTCATCCATTAGTTGCTTGAGCAAAATACCAAGTAAAGTGGTCTTTCAGGAGCTAATCCCTTCGAGGAAGCATCCTGGTCGAGAAGACGTCTTGAAGCTACGTAGGATAATCTAATAAAAATTCCTCTCAGGCACATAAAACTTCCTAGAACCGAAGGGGAGATATTATCCGGTTTCTTGAGTCAAAGACGTACTCCCCGGAAGGAGACTCGATATTGCATGTCACATGACTTGATTTGCCCACTAACTTAGCTTTTCATACGCACACAACACCCCTGGTTGGGACAGTTTACGGATGGAACAGTTCACAGATGAAGGTAACGATGCTAAAAGACAAGAAGAAGCAATTCAAGATAACTCAATAATTATCGGGTCGCAATTATCAACATTGTCTTCGCTATTTTATAGCAGTCTATTTATTGCATCCTTTACGACAGGTCGTCTTGTCTTCTGTTCTTACTTTTGTTCAGCAAAAATGCATAAATCACCGGTTATGTGTAACCTGGACTGATGAACGGTATATAGGCCCGCTATTTCATGATACTTTGCGCGAATCTCCAAATTCGGCTCAGGTGAAAAGGAAAACGCTGGACCACCCACAAGGAAACCGCTAAAAAAACTCGGATAAAAATGGAGCTTCTTCATCCCATATGCTACTGTGAACATTAGTCACTGGCTCACTTGGAACATTTCCATGGGGCAAACTTCTGGAACCTTTAAAATGGAATGCTATAATGATACAACACATGGTGCAACACCTTTTTACAAGAATTCCGTAAGTTTACCGAAGCTTTTCTGGTTCGGTCATGTAACATCTCCATAACCGGAAGAAAAATCATCGTACATTTTTGCTACTCGTCTCTCGGTATGAGTAGTATGGCCTTTTGGACAAGAGTGGAGCACGATTCCCGACGCATTTTGAATGTATGGTTGGACCGATATCCAGCTAGACGAAGCCCATACGGAGTACCGAATTTTACGTGAAATCGATGTACTTTCAATTCTGCTAAAAATTCAGGCTACTCGCAAGTAATCGGAAGGTATTAATTACTGGCGGTTCGACCCCACATAACTGGTCAATCACTGCTTGGAAGGATTCAAGCGGGCATACATTGCTGAGAACGGCATGAAAATAAGTCTAAAAGTAAAAGCTGTTTTTGAGAAATTGTCCTACTAAAACTCTCAGTCGTAACAGTGTGTATTCAAACGAAATATAACTGCCGTAATCTCTTACTGCAAATAATGACAGCAGAAGTTAGAGGCAGTTTTTTAGAGGAAAATGTGTGAGAGAATGTAATTGTGAAACACTCAACAACTAAGGTAATTAATTCCTAGCTTGTTTCCAATTCATCTGCGACAACGAAAATGAAAGAACATCGGGCTTCAGCACCGCGCACCTTAGATGAACCGGGTTTCAGCACTGGGTGACCTAAACCATATACCGATGTTTTGGCGCGGTGACATCATTGTGGCTGCAATCTTGTTCGGCTGCCTGTGACTAGAAGGAAGTTTCCGGAACTTTTGGTGCAATATTGGTAAACTGGGATAGGAGATGGTTAAAATGGGTCATCCCTACCAAGGAACTCCTTCCCCATGGGGCTATCCACGAAGTAAACTACAGGTTCGAACGTGACTGCACAACACTTTCCAGAATAGTAACACTCAGAAATATGCGCTGCAACATAATGCAGGAGCGCCAAATCCGGATCTGTATCCCATCTACATCATTTGCAACAATGGCCGTGGGAAAATACGGAGCGCTTGCAGGCTTTGAGTCCTGTTTTTTATACCGGAGTAATTGGCATTTAAGTCTGTTAACTGTATATATCTGAACAGTGAAGTTTGGCACTCCCACGTACCGTGTCAGATATAAGTCACAGTTACACATTATCGTGTCAAACCTAAGGCTAAGGTAATCATCTTAGCCAGTATACTGACGCTAAAGCTACAGGAATATTCCTCTCGGATAACATGACCTGTTCGTACTATTATTAGTGTACAGCTGCCGTACCCAATGGCTTCAGACACCTGCTCCAGCACCACATAATTCCAAAGCTGCTGGAGATTGATCCAATGATCCAAGTGATCCCTGATAAACTTGTTGCTTCTGAGAAAAGAGCTTCCTACCTGGTCAAAAGCAATTTCCGGCAGCTAGTTCCCCTGAACTACACCTACAAGAAAAGTCCGCGGAAAATTCATGAGTGAGTACTGGCAGATCGTTCATACAAATTTGGAAATAATTGTGGATAGTTCTTCTTACTGGCAGAATTCTAGGAAACCTTATTAAAATCATGCATACACTAATATCGTAAACAACATCGGTACAAATTTCACAACTGCATTAACAAAAGAAATGGATGCACTGAACCCAATGTGATTTGTGCGGTGAGTCCTGATCACGATTACAACGTTCCTGTTTTTGGCAATCACTCATTGACCTGCTTGGTTCCAGATGTTGACAAGAAAACAATGTATTTGAATTGGTCGATGGGGGGCTATTCCTACACTAGTGATCGCTGACGGACAAAAATCATCCGTGCCTGCAGCCGTGATCGGATATGCAAAAGATGCGTCGCAGCTTGATCGGTTTCTTGATTAGTAACACTGGGTCTGTTACCGCTTGACTCAAATGAGTAGTGGAAATTCTGTAAGGGAATGTTAAACAAAGTTTGTTGTCAACGATATACACGAAACAGGTGTGTCTACCGTAAGAGATTTTTAGTTTGCGCCTGAGTGTTAGCCTGTCCAGCGAGTGTCCCTATGTCCTCAGCATCTAAAACGTATAATGACTACTAATCGAACAAAAATATACGAAAAGGAAGAAGATGCTCAGTGGTAACAAAATGTGCAAGCAGAACACGCAGATGTCTCGGTTTACAATTTTCGCACGATGGGGAAATAGGAGAGAAAGTGCTAGGGCCGGATTCAGAACGGAACATTATTATGGCTTGCTTTTTTCAAGAGATGGTACGCATATTTACACTTTGTCTCAAGGGAAGTGAAAGTTGTGTTGTGTTTGCGTTCGCATAGATTTTTGTGGATACATTCAAAGTGCTTATTTTAGATATAGTTTGCGGGAATGGTTATGTGAGCCGGAATTCGCCCATTTAACAACGTCGCCCGAGGCTCCTACTGAACCAAGTTAACTACATTTTGCACATTCAGCCCATATGTTGGCAAGCCTATAAGAATTTGGTACGGCTGGCTGGCGGCCGGTAGGATAAAATGGGTGGTTTAGGCAGATTTAATGGCTGCACGCATGCGTTGAGTCCAAGGATCTAAATGGAATTCTGTGGCATACTTGTCCGCTTTACGTCTTGATGGTTCTCAGAGCTGCTTTTATTTCCAAGTTTTTCGCCCCATGGGAGCCCGATTTGCGTGGGAATTTTATCTTTGGGGGACGAAGTTTTTCCCCACCAAAGACGAAAAGTTCGACCACTGAAACTTATGGCTCATTCGGCACCAAATTTTTGGGCGACCAGATTTCAAAGATTTAGGGCAAACATGCATCTTTAAGTTTCCTGGTGATTTTTGTGCGGTTTGATCAAAAGGATCTCTCTGTGAGGCCCTGAGTGTTGGTGTGATGAACATGACTGATGCTCTATCTATGTAGCAGCACCAAATAGTGTTCCTTTAGCTGGTGCTCCCCTGAAGCTCGTTTTCGCAGAGTACCGTACCCTGAAGCCAGGCAACAGATTTCTGATTTATCGAAGCTTATGCGGTTTGCTTGACTGTAGTCGCCTTTTTTGGGTTTGTGTGGATTCCCGAGTTACCCGCGACCAGCATGGCCAATTGGATATACGAAAAATCTTCGGGTACGGTGTTTCCAGTTTAGGGGCTTTGGTTGTCGGGGTTCTGGACGATGACCATGTCCACCATCAAGCAGGCCACTTTTGACGGAGTGGAGCTAAAAATTGACCACCCCACATTCTCAATGGTTTTAGGGTTCTCGCAGTACTTTCCGAACTCTCGGTCAACGCATGTGGTTGATTTCTTCGCTGCTTGTCTCCACATGCCTGACTCAGTTCAGCTCGGAATTTGTTACGTGGGTGTGGAGTTCACTGCTTCGCCTTCATTGTCCCTTGCGGGAATAAGCGATGATAGCTCTACATAATTTGGACGCTACGTCCACGTGAGGATTGCCTCGTCCCGGGCATCGTTGCCTTTGGTAGTAGAGGAGTCTGCAGTGGTTGAATAGTAACTGCAATATGGAGTCGCGGCAGGTTGCGTCGGCGTGCTTTAAGGATCACAAGAGGCAATAAGTTTGGGGTAAGCTGAAGTGGCACAGAGCGGAAGGCTTTTCGCACCTCTCTTGGAACCGCTGTGGCCAGCGATCCTCAGACATACGGCTGGTATTTGGGTGTGCATTTTGAGTATTCACAATCAGCTGTAAGACCTGTAAGACAGGTGGAAGGAAGGAGTAACTAGAAGCCCAAGTATATCTTTGTAATGTACCACTCATAGGGTTGCTGAAAACCCGTCGACAGCCCACGACTGGTTTCGCCCTTTTTTGAGCTCATCAGGTAGACGCAGTCCTCAGGTTTCTGTCAACCTTATGTTCTACTTGAAACCAAATTGCACGAAATTAGCGAATATACATTACATTAATTACTAGTTTAATTTTTCGAGAGACTCGCCGAAAACCCAGTTGAATCTTTCGTTTGTGATGTGTTCAGGTAACTGAATGTGCTGCACCATTACATTACAAAGATATTCATCTATCACGATATCTTTAATATCGTAGCGACTGAAACATGAAGCGGCCTGGTGCAGCACATTCAGTTGCCTGGAAACATCACGAACCAGAGATTCAGCTGGGTTTCAGGTGAGTCTCTCAAAAAACCAGATTATTTTGCAAATGAGTGTATGTTTGCTAGAAGTCCAAATGTTCGCTGGCTTCCATTTTAGCGTAACCAGTCTGCTTGAAGTGATTCGTGATTGGGCTCTAAAAACAACCCTTAAATGATCAACCTACTCTCCCTCATGGTCCTGTCCACCTTGACATCTTGGCGGTCTTTATGGCCACATCAGAATGCTGAATGCCCTTTGCAGCCAGCTGACCCGGGTTGGATAGCGCAAGGTACTCGTTCAGGAAAGGAAGTTCATTATCAGCTTTCGACAAGGTCACTGTGATCCTCGTGTTTGTGTTCCCCAAAGCTTTAGAAATAAGCACCAGTTCTGGGTCGAATGTCCCGGTTGAAGCGGAACATTCACACTGGTCTTTCCGAATTAGCTCACGGATTCACGGATTCACGGATTGATACACAGGATCGAGGCTTTTGCCCAAGTTTCCCGGATCGGTCAGTGGCTGTCGTTCACCTGAAAGGCACAAGTGAAATAAGGGTGTAGCACTGCTCTTTGTGTTCTCAGCGCGCGGCAGTATGCTTGCCAGCGTGAGGATTCGCATAAATAAGTGTCTAAGAGTGCTTTAAACTGGGTTCTGGAAGGAGCGTGGACAACCGTCGGAGAAAGGTCATTCCACGCAGCTATTGTGGCGTTTTTGTACCTTTATTTTACTTCCATTATAACACTAGATATTTCATCAATTGCATAATCGTTTTTTGTTTGAATACGAGAAACTACAAAAAATGCGCCCTTGTACAATTTCACATAATACAAGCGTGGTCACGTGCTTCGACTCTCTCTTCTGATTTCGCTCGCGCTTGCAGCGGTCATTCGCGAGTCTCATATAC